GAAAAATTTTTCATTGTGTGGTAATCAAAAATGGGTCACATACGACAATCGCACTCGAAAAAGATCGTGGACAAAGAAAGGAGAGAAGGCGCAAGCAATCGCAAAACCTGTATTGACGACGAAGAAGATGATGTTGTGTGTGCGGTGGGATTGGAAGGGAATCGTTCACTATAAGCTGTTACCGCCCGGTCAAACAATTAATTCCGAACTTTACTGTGAACAACTGGAGAGATTACAACAAGCAATTGAGAGGAAGCGGCCAGAATTGATCAGGAATTGAATAGGAAGGCTGTCGTCTTCCATCACAACAACGCTCGATCACACACATCTTTGATGATTTGGTAAAAATTGCGAGAGCTTGCCTGGGAAGTTTTGATGCATCCACTGTATAGTCCTGACATAGCATTCTCAGACTATCATTTGTTTAGGTTTCTTCAGAACTCTCTTAATGATATAAAGCTGGCTTCAAAAGAGGCTCTGAAAATCACTTGAAGCAGTTTTTCTACAGAAACCACAAAAGTTCTATTGCGATGGGATTATGGCTCTGCCCCAAAAATGGCAAAATATTATCGAAAATAATGGAGCATATTTGGTTTGAATAAATTGATCTTAATACTCTAAGAAAAACTTGAATTTTACTAAAAAAACACCTCGAACTTTTTTCCACACCCAATATATTTGCCCGTACGTACAATTGCGATTATTTCGAGAACTGTTGGACCGATTTTTATGAAATTATTAGAAGTATTTTATGAAAAAGTTGATATGTAAATTAATTATACCTTTAAGTGAGAAATTTTATCATTTTCATAATCATGTGTCCTTAAATATTGCATTACTCTAGATAATAAATTTAATTAGTTTAAGCCATGGACTTAATGCTCGGTCTAGTCTTAATATATTTATGAGAAATCCCTAGATTATTCATTACGTTATTTATTACGTAATGTCAAGAGACTATCAGATAATGGAATTTGTTGAATCATTTCACTTCACTTTATCTCTTACGAATATATATATGTTGAAGATATATGTGTTGGGCCAATATAAGTGAGCTCTCCTTTTCGTGAAGTTTAGTACCGCTAGGCGTTTGTACGTATGCACATCCAATGTGTGATTATCAGCGATTTCATACAGTTTTACAATTGTGACAAATATAACCCGATCTGTACCTAGTGATTAATAAAGAAACTGGTTTCGGCATTATTTTCTTCTACAAAATAAAGGTGACATCTCGCTAACGAAATTACATAATTACATAGTTTGATTCTTGT